AATCCAGCAAGTATAGATACATTTATGTGCTCTTATCCATATTGCTGTAATACGCGTTCAAAGTTGAAAAATTGAAATAGAGAACGTTCGAAAAAGAAACATTCAGCTTTCATACGCATATATTGGATACATTCTATCTATTATACTTTAGCAGATATTTGGAAAATTGCTCACTGCTACTAATATTCGCGCCTCCTCTTAGACTAGTCCACGCCTCCCCAGAGAGGCTTGCCTCACAGTTTGGAAAACGCTGCATTAGAATGAAGCAAATAAAGTAAATCTCCAATCGAACTCGTACACAATTCAATTCAATTATATTTTTGTATTATTTATATTCGTTGAATTCCCATGACTAATACACATGATTTCTTCTCGATCCTTTGCGAACGTGCAACAACGACCCGATATTGACTTAACGTTATCATCGTCCGCTGGCAATAATTCATATGCTGGATCGGTTTTTCTGGAATGTTAATCACGAATTTAAATATAAACCGCGCACGTAATCTAAATAGAAGCGCATCGCATTTTATCGACACTCGTAACCATTTTAATTACTGTATTATTGTTATACTTAAAACGTAATATTCAGGGTACATTCCGATAAATAAAATCTTGAGCGGATTTAGTATATTGTTTATTGTACTTTTTATTTTTTATTTTTATTTATTTTTTACAGATAAGAAAAAGAAAAACAAGTTTCATTAAAAGCTTACGAACGACGTTTTTACTCATTCCTCACGTGAAATTAATCCCCCCCCCCCTCTGAATGCCACGAAAATTATAATTAAATTATAAACAAATCTTTTTTTTATAAGTACACAGCATCAATTATTTCTCCAAATATCAAATTTTTCCTCGCTCCAAACTATAATCAAAAAGAAAACTGTAAATGTAAGTAAAATAGTTCACGAATCACATAGATTACATTAAAAAAAAACAACAACAAACAAAAACAAATAACTTGTGCTGCTGAAGATGCGTTTGGACCTGTGCTAAAAACCATTGTATGCATTATTTTTCCTCTCGTTTACTGCGTGTATTTATGAATAGTAATTATAATAATATTAATAATAAAGGCACGAATGGAACTCTGAACAGCATTTGGTATACTAATTTCTCTTTCTCTCACGACCATTTTGTTTTCCAACATATATAACAATTAATTTTTTTTTAATATATTTATCATATTTTTTTATTTTCTCCTTGTTTCCCTCCTTACGCCAATTAAAAAAACTAAATGTAACAAAAAAAAATCATATAATACTCAACGTAGAAATGAAACGGTGTGTATCTTGTTACGTGTTACATATATAACAAAATAGAAACTCAACTCAACTCAAAATAATCACAATCGCTGCTGCAGCTATCGACACTTTGAGAAACGATGTCTTTGTTGTTTTAACATATTAATAATATATTTCTTATTTACGAATAAAGGAAAAAAATTATATTTATTTAGTTAATATAGGGCTCGACGATATTAACAGACTTAGTGTATTGTTATTATAGATTCTCGCCCTTTGCCTACGCCGATCCATTTAACTGTAACAAAATATAATATTATTAATTTAAAGTTAAAACTGTTGTGGGATGAATGCATTATTAAAATGTAATGATGATGAATTTGAAGGGTGTTAATTGGGTGGACTATGTACTGACCAGGAACATCCAGGACTTCTTCGATCTTCTCCACGTACTTCTTGGCGTTCTCGGGAAGATCGGCGAATTCCCTCACGTTCTCGGTTGACGTCTCCCAGCCGGGAACGGTGACGTAGTCGACCTCGACCTTTGCCAAGTCCTTAATATTGGATGGGAAGTAGTCGATCTTCTTGCCGTCGATGATGTAACCGACGGCCAGTTTGATTTCAGGAAGGGTGTCGAGAATATCCAGCTTCGTGATGCAGATACCGGTGTAACCGTTGATCATGTTGGTGTACTTGAGGAGGAACAGATCGAGCCAACCGCAGCGGCGTTTCCTCTTGGTCGTCACACCGATCTCGTGGCCCTTCTCCTGCAGCAAGCTACCGATCTCGTCGTTCAGCTCGGTTGGGAATGGTCCTGCACCTACTCTGGTCGTGTAAGCTTTGACGACGCCAATGACTTCGCCTATCCTGTTTGGTGGCAAACCAAGGCCCGTGCAGACACCGCCGACACTGCAATTCGAAGACGTCACGTAGGGATAGGTACCTGCAGGTAGCAAAATATTAATAAATCAGTTCAATCCGAGTGCACTCTTCACATACCGAAATCGATGTCGAGCATGGCGGCGTTGGCGCCCTCGACCAGAATCTTCATGTTATCCTTCAAGCATCTGTCGAGGTAGGATACAGTTTCCCTAACGTAAGGCCTGACCTGATCGGCGTACTTCTTATAGCGTTCCAGTTCGGCGTCGATGTCCACCTCGAGTGTAGGGAACATCCTTTTGTACATGTTCGTCAGCACGATGAACCTGTTGCAAAGCAAAGCAACACAATTAACACAATTCCAATTACCATCGAATGATAATTACTTTTCTTTGAAGCAGTCGAAGTCTGCGAGGAGTTCGCCTATCCTGATGCCATTTCTGATGGCCTTCGACGAGTATGTTGGGCCGATTCCCTTCTTGGTGGTACCAAGCTCCTGGCCCTTCTGTGCCTCCTGCATCCCATCGACCTGCTGATGGAAATCGAACACAAGATGCGCCCGATCGCTGATTATCAAACGATTCTGCCAGTTGGTCAGACCCTTCTGCTCGTTCTTCGCCAACTCTTCGAAGAGTCCAGGTAAATGAATAACAACCCCATTACCTACAATAAAACAATCAATCAATTATAATTTCAAATCGCTAACAGTCAATTACAAGACAAGATCTTTTATCATGTAATACTGTCATTTTCAATGGAGTAAATTTCTTATTAGATATTGGAATGATTGTCTCTTTTTTTTGCTTAAATTACAAATACAACGCCAATTATTTTGATATACAAAAACACGTTATTAAAGGTTTTAAAGAGATAATCTGTAATTTTTGTTTATTTGTATTCCTTGTAAATTATTTACTTTTTTTTTCGCAGGGTTTTCGCATTTTAGTTTTCTATTTTATATTTTTATGTGAGCCAAAATCATAAATGTATTAGAGATATTTTCAAATTCTCTTTACATTAAAATTTATATTCCGAATAATTTGATCATCCACAGCATATAATCAAGTCACGTGCAAGAACAGACTAGCAGAAACAGCTGTGGTCTTCGGCATCTCTACAATAGCCTGGAAAACAACATGTATTGACCACAGATAATGAAATTGTGTTCAATTTTAGGGAATTTAACATTGACATAGAGACCTAATGTAACGTGACGACGGCACGGACTTGGCTTAAAAATACGTCGGTATTTGTAAGCTCGTGTTGCCAAACAAACGACATACACACACATACGCAAGTACACATACACAAAGAGACGAAGGAGATTCTAGGAAATTTCGCGAAAAAAAAGAAGGAAACTTGGTGACCCGCCAAATTTTACGGACAAAAAAAATAAAATAAAGAAAGTAAACAAATAAAAACAAAGGCAAGTGATAAATTTCAGAGAGCTTAATTTATAGATCACAACGATAAATCTATATTATATAAGAATATTAAATCATATTCTATATATTATCACAGTTATTTTTGGCATTTCTCCATTTGTTCTAATATTAATTAAATTGTATCAATGAGCTTTCCAAATCATTTTCAGCTGACTTTGTTAATTTCATCGATGTCAATAAACCGAATTAGCTTATTGTTGAGAATTGTGATGAATAATCAATGGTGAATTATTGTAATTTTGATTTGTTTCAGTGTAAGTTATTGTGTATAAGTATACATTATTCAATTATTAACAAATATAACCTATTTAAACATCTCAAAGTGAATTGAATCGAAGCCAAAAAGTTTCTCGACCGTTCGAATTCACGTCATTAATGAAATGTGAAAACACTGCTTTTTCGGACAATCTAATTTCATTTTTCAACTTTGAACGCGTATTACAGCAATGTGGATAAAAGCACATTAATGTATCTAAACTTGATGGATTCCCCAAACATTCAGCTTTCATATGCATATATTGGATTCATTCTATCTATTATAGTTTTCGAGTAAATCAATGAAATGTAAAGACACTGCTTTTTCGAACGTTCTAATTTCAATTCTTCAACTTTGAACACGTATTACAGCAATATGGACAAGAGCACAGGAATGAATCTATACTTGTTGGATTCCCCAAACATTCAGCTTTCATATGCATATATTGGATTCATTCTATCTATTATAGTTTTCGAATAAATCAATGAAATGTGAAAACACTGCTTTTTCGAACGTTCTTATTTCAATTTTTTAACTTTGAACGCGTATTACAGCAATATTGGATTGATGTTGATTTGTGTTTACTTTTCTTTTACGATGAACACATCAATATATATTGAATATTCCTCAATCAAGATTAATTCGAACGTAATAAATAATGAAAGTGTGCATCAAAAACTCCCAACAACTTCTAAGCAAATATAAATATGAGAACATTATAGCATTTATTTACTACATTTCCATTAGTTTTTCGTAAAGTCACATCAGTTAAAGCAGGCTTTCGCAAACTTTTCCTACAACTGAACAATTCGTAAATACTGAAATTTTCATGAAAAACCTTGTTTATTTTGTTGGACAGATAACACATAAGGTTTTCACAGAAAGAGTTAATGTTCAATTGATTTGATATTTATTTATTGAAATGAATACTATTTAACTATTGCAATTCATTTATATATTTGTTACTATCTTTGCGTCATATCGATATGCATCAGCATCGAAATTACATTAAACATTACAATGATTGGTGAAAGTAATTTCATTTTAGCGATTTGTTTGGCTTCGCCGCAACAGCTTCAGATCCTGTTTTAATCAAACACTCTTCTGTTGCATTTAAAAAGACTTTTTATATCTCTTTATATCTAAATTGTACATAGCAAAATATACAAATTAATTAAATTATTGATAAGATTATTATATAATTAATGATATAATGTGTTCATCTACAAAGAGTTCACTTTACATGTGTATAAAGCTCGCGTCTTCAGTTACTATTGTTTCCAATGAAATAGTAGACGCTCATAAAGCTAACTCAAATAATTTTATTGCTGACTTTGCGTCATCCCCTGTAAATGTAAATAGAATCATTTGGGGCTGCGTCACCGAATGCCACCGCGACCTGATTACTCCTTAATGAGGCTTATTACATTTCATTGCTGGGTAATGCCGTTCGAATCACGCGACAATGATTAATGCTTGTTTTGGTTTGGTGTCCCTTCTTACCGATCACGGATTTGCATTTGGAGTTGATGATACCGCTCGGCAGCAAATGGAAGTCGTACTCGGCGCCCTCCACCACGACCGTGTGCCCAGCATTGTTTCCACCCTGCAAACAAAAAAAAGCACAGCATAAGCAAAACTGATGGAAAACTCAGAACTCTATGCAAGTCTTGCAGGTCAGCAAACTTCGAGATTGCGACATCGACAAATTCAAACAATTGCATTTCCGTTCTACTTTGCAACTGTTGATTGCAGAATTTGCAAAATTTAATAAAGGATTTATGTCTCCGTGGGAATAACAAATAAATATCGAATAAACAAAACACGAAATATGATATCAAATCTAAGATATTTGTGCATGCAAATTTCAATCAAATATATATATGTTTGTAGTTTTTTCAGCTTATCAATATTTGCGAGGGGGGAAATTTCTGCAAGCAAAAATAAATAAGAAAAGAACGCGTGACGGTTAGAATTCTCACGCGACTGAAAATAAATTTCAGTGTAGTTTATAAGCGGGCAAGTGTTGCGGAAAGTCACAAGATCCTTCGCACACGAGAGCATCACCTATAAATAAGCCACCTCCGACTGACAACGTATGCATTATCTCAACATATTTTCAGTTGTGCTCGAGGCGCCAAAACATTATCAACTCTTCAAACAACAATCGCACTACCGTCACGTTTTTTCTATCTCTCTCTGAAACACTTCTATTATTTCGCTGCGCCTTGTTAAACCTGCATATATTTTTATAAATCTAAATTACTCTTGAAGCCATTTACTTAGAGCTTAGTTGTATAGGTAAGCGTTGTGCAGACTGTTGGTTGGGATTGTTATCGTGAACAAAATCAATCCAATAAATAACTTTATCATTGATGCTATTCCTTATGACCTATTAATATATAGTCCACGTTAAAGCAGTGAATACACGCATCTAACGGTTATAAGTTTTCTTTTATCAAATCAAAAATGAACATCTAAGAAATGCAAGGCAATTGATAACATATTTATTTTAAAATCTTTATTTAAAATCGTTGCTATGCCAATGCAAGTTATTAGTATCATTAGTACTAACATTGTATGTTGATTGATAACATTCGCGCAAGTTAGTAAAGTTGCATATATATATTCAAAAATACACAAGTTTTTAAAATGATTAAGCTTTTTTTCACTTTTTCCTTATAATTCGTTTTGCTCGTTAAGCTATAAAAAGAGCGTATATTTTCTGGCATAAAATTCATTCCTTCTTTTCGCGCTTTCACAATTCATTGCACGAGCAATAGTACTTGTGCACTTGTCAAAGTTTAGTTTAGATTTAAACTATTGAGTTTACGTAACGAAAAGAAAAACTCGAAAATAAAAACAGACTTGATGGTTGGCAAATGCTTTAAGATCATTCTATAAAGTAAATGTAAATAAATATAAAACGTGCATTAAATGTTTTGTTTTCATCTCGACGGCCAATTTTTTTTTTGTTTGACCAGGCACGCACACTTTGATTTTTTTTCTAAAATTAAAGAAACTTTTAAGTTACGTAACAGAGTAATTTATAAAAATAACGGACTATCTCATAATGACGTACACTCTGTATTTGACAATAGTTCGTGATAGTATAATCGTCGGAAGGAAGGACGAATGCAGATTACTGATAATGTTTTTATTTTAAAGTGATTTGCAAGTAATTCTGTTGAGAACATGTACGAACTGTTGTGTGCGTCTCTAATTGTTCGTTGCTTGTAATCGATTTCAATTAATCGAGAACCTTATGTACATATTGCAAATCGAGTGGCTAATCCATATTCCTTGCGTCAGTCTTGGCGAGACAGCCAATCTACTCTTCAGTCTACGGTTTATCTAATTAGAATTAATACATTATCAAACAATGATCTCAACTTTCTAAAACAGTCAATATTATATGTTTTTATTTAATAATCAAAATAAATGCGTTTGTTAGGTTTTTCTCATGACTAAGCCTGGATACTTAAGATATTTCTTTTCAATGTTTAATACACTAAAATGCAGTTGACGTACTGTTCAAGAGTGTTTCAAATATTACGATTTAAACGAATTGGATATTTATAGTACTGATGTAAACGGCAATATTCGATTCTAAAGTTGTGTTATTCTGAGGTAACAAGTAGGAACGTCAATGTTTACGGGCCTACGAGCAAGCTTGTTTTAATGAGCCATCATTAGTCGTTTCTAATGACCTCAGTGAGGGTCAATTTCAAATATTGTAGGTGAAGTCACTTTTATATATATATATTATATTATGAACTTGCAGAAATATAAAAAAATGACGAGTATTCGTGTTCTGAACTGTAATAAATTGGCACGTTATTTCGTTTACATTAATATTTACGAATTTTCATTTTGCAGGTTCTTTTGATTCTATCGAAATACGATGTTGGCAATTACCAAAGCACTCTTGAACTTAATGCTAAGTTAACATCTCTTATGTTGAACGTTATGAAATGGCTCTCTGTATTTTTATTTCGCTCTCTTACGTTGGAAGCGATAATGCGTTACGTAACTCTCGCACGAGCAGGATCCGCGAGAACAACGCATTAGTTTCGCAGTTTATTTATCCAATTTTGGATGAATAAAAAGGAGGTTTTGGTCTGGATGAATGTAGTGTTTGGTACCTGGCATCTGCAGACGACGTCGACTTCGGTTGCAAGCATGTCGACGACTTTGCCCTTGCCCTCGTCGCCCCATTGCGCTCCCAGGACGACGGTGACTCTGTTGTTGTCGTTGGCGTTGATCCTTGCCTTCTTCCTTGGCGATCCGTTCACGCCGTTCATTTGGCAACTTGCCGCCATCTCAAACTGACTGACTGACTGACTGCCTGCCTTCGCACCTCACTGCCCGCGAAAATCTAACAAACCGCAAACGGTATGACTGTCGCTTATTTAACCGGGACGATCACGAGGATTCGCGCCACACGCTTAGGTTATGTGCTGAGATGGCTGTGAAGGACGAAGCGCGGGAGGAGAGGATCGTCGATGGTTGGAATGGAGAGGGGACCACCGAGCCAAGGTTCTGCCCATTCTTTCTATTTTCTGCTGCCAGAGCGCAGAGATCCGCTGATGCTGACGGGAACTCTCTTAGTCCAACCCTTGGGCAATGGATGACGCTGTCGAAGATGAAGAAAACCATCATGTTACTTAAGCAATTCCTTTCCTCCTAGATTTACTGGTTTTGCAGAGGTTTCACTCACCACTTTTTCACAGGACCCAGTTAAATGTGACGGGGTTTCCAGAGGGAGACTCATTACTGGAAGAAGAAGCAATTCATAATTAACGTTTTACAATTTCAAATATATTTACCCAAGTTTATTCTGACTAACGTATCGAACGATATTTCTATATGTCTATGTTATAGGCAACTCCATTCCCA